ATATAAAAAGCACCTCACTGTTAGAAAGGTTGCTTTTTTATATATATTATCTTTAAATTTGTAGTATAATTTACACACAAGCAAATTGCAGTTTTTAGAGTTATATATGCCTAATAAATTTTAAATATAGTAAGTTAATTAAATTATTCTGAAACTGGTTTCTTTTATAATAGTATGGAAAAAAAATCCTTCATATATGGACATATTCTATATCTGTAATGATGTTTAATTAAATACAATCATATATGAGATCTTCTCAATCTCATGCAAAATTATGCCTAGATATAGAATTTGAGCATATATGAAGAATTGTTTCCCGGAAAAATAATGATATTTAGAATTAAATTATTTATTATCTTCTATATCTCTCTACAATAAAAATTTTTGAGAAGAATAAATTATTCTGCATGAGTAGTAATCGCACTGATTTTTCACTATATCGTCACTCTCTACGTATAATCTTGTAACTCCAAAACGCAAATTTTAGAGGAGAGCAGTTAAAAATTTAAAGGTTCATATAGTTTCCCTAGTTAAGGGATCTTTCGGTTTTAAATTTTTATCTTATGATTATTTTTTTTTCAATATTTGGTGACCATAAAGAACATGACTTTTTAAGCGTCACCATGCAATAAACTGAAAATCCGGTAAGTGACACTTATGTAATTATATGTAGGGAGTGACGATTCTTTTTTAATGAAATTTCCATTTATTTGTATATTGTAATATTTCTTTTATATATGTGCTTTTTTTATTTTTTTACATATATTTTTTTTATATTTTTTTAAATATATATATTTATCTGTATTTTCTACATCTCTACTTTTACATTTCTATATCAATTTCTCTTAAAGAACCGATATAGAATATTTTTTGGAGACTTATGTTCTTTTGTACTTCTATATCAATTTCTCTGAAAGTACTGATATAGAATCTTTTTTTAAAGACTTATATTCTTTATATATTTTTTCTACATCCACTTTTATATTTCTATATCAATTTCTTTTAAAGAACCGATATAGAATTTTTTTTCGAGACTTCTATATCACTTTCTCTTAAAGAACCGATATAGAATTATTTTTTGAAACTTGTGTTCTTTTATATATCACTTTTCTATATCACTTTCTCTTAAGAGGGTACTGGATACCGACTATAGACACCTGTAAACCGACGATTCTAAGTTTTCTTTTTGAGCCGTATTTACTGCATCAAATCCAAAATGCTTCTACAGAAATAAGTGAATTGTGCTAAGAATTAGCTGTTGTTCTTTAAAATGTCCAAATTCAGCATAAATTTTTTCTTAGACAGTTTTCTTCTATAACCTCACTATATATTCATGTATATAAAATTATTTCTAAGCTTATGTACGTATTTACACTGAACTACAGCAATACGTACGACACAAAACAATCTAATGAAACACTCAGAATATGATTTGGTTGTCTAATTGATGCACAAAAGTAATATTGTGATGATGTGTATTTGATACCATATACTATCATTATGAATGAAAAACAAGTTCAAAAAAGCATTATATACCCATTTTCAAAAGCTTTATATAGTTTTGTATATTTATTTGCTTCTGTAGAAGCGCTTTTAATGTTGTGCAGTAAATAAAATTAAAAAAT